TGAGGAAACCTGTTATGGCATGATCGTCGTATGTGACGGTCCTCCTATTTTGACCATTTGCAATTTTGGTAGAGTTAGTGATGGGTGCAACACGTTCCGAACCCATGTGTTGCTCAGAATGTTCTGGGTAGGGACGAAGGTCCTATTTTCAGCCATTTAGGGATCACGTATGGTGATCGACGCATTTTGAGTTGGAACACCTTTATTTTTAGTGATCACTTGATAGTGTTTCTTCATCTCGGATTGTTTGAAGGCTTTGGCCGCCGCTTTGTCGAATACAGCTCTACACCTTGGGCATAGCATGACTTCACAGTCAGCTTCTTTCTTTCGAGTTAGAAAATCCACTAGCAAATCTCCTGTCCTTGGGAAGATTTCAGTTTCTTATTTTTTGAAGACTTCCAAAGTGTCATTCAAAGAGCCTTTTCCCTTTAACTCTTCCACAGCTTGATCGAACGTTCCTTTTTTCTTTTCAGCAACATCGACCATCAGTATGCCGATAGGTTCCACAAAGTTGGCTTCAACTTGCATAAGATTTGAATCAATTTTCATCGGCATCTTGGATTTTTGCTTCAGTCTTCCTTACTTAATAGCGTCTTGAATCAGATCCCTGAAACGAACACAATTGTTAGTCCAATGACCATAAACATGATGGAACTTGCAATATTTTTGACCCTTTTTTTGTTCTAAAGTAGGGATCTTGTGATCATCAGATAATACAATTTGCCCATCTTTCAATAAAATATAAAAAATATGATCAGTTTTAGAGACATCAAAGGCATAACTTTTATTAGGCCGAGTTTTGTCTTTAATTTCGAGTGGTTTTAAAGATTGGAAAACACTTGTTCGACTACATTGGCAATATTTTGAGGATTCGGGTTATTTGGATATTGAATTTGATACCCCTTACATTATTTTGCCTAACTTGCTCGAGTATTTCATCAGTAGTCTGATTTCGAGCAATAATAAAGGGTTGATTTCCCTGAAAATCACCCTCATTTTGTCTCGGAAGGTTTTGGTCAAAATTTTGACCAATTTGCTCAATTGGAGCATTTTCATTTCGAGCAAAAACTGGGGGTTGGTCCACCTAGAAATTTCCCTCATTTTGTCTCGAAAGGTTTTGGTCGACATTTCGACCAATCTGCTCGATTGGAGCATTTTGATTTCGAGCAAAAACTGGGGGTTGGTTTACCTGAAAATTTCCCTCGTTTTGTCTCGGAAGGTTTTGGTCGACATTTCGACCAATCTGCTCGATTGGAGCATTTTGATTTCGAGCAAAAACTAGGGGTTGGTCCACCTGAAAATTTACCTCATTTTTTCTCGAAAGATTTGGACCAAAATTTGGACCATTTTGCTCGAAAATTTGACCATTTCGACCAAGATTTGTGGCATCTCGATTAGGTGTTTAGGCAACATTTTGCCCTTGCCTTATAAGGACTCGAGGTGCCCCAAAAACGTCAGCAATTCGACGCATTTGTTCAGCCAAAACTTGATAGCTGGTATTAGTCGTTTCCACTATGGGATTCAACACTGTGGTCATCTGATGGGTCAACATATTGACCATCTCGTGATTGCTTTCATCCATTTGTTGCCTCATGGAATGTAAGGCAACATTCGAAAATAAGCTAGCAGGAAGTGAATCCCCGCTCGAAGATCCAAACGCAAATTGCGTTCCAGGTACTCCACCAATCGTACCCATTCCCGGTGGAATGGTATGAAATACACCCATTCCTGGTGGAATAGTGTGACTCTGGGGTGACACGGTTGCCACCACAGGGTTGGAGTAGGTTGGTACTCCAAAGATAGGCGGCATACACACAGGAGGTAAGCTAAATGGATGATCACCCAGCCTTGGCCTTGGGCCAGGATTTATGCTGGGATTGGTTGGCATAGTAGCCATAAATTGGCTAACTACAGGAGATGACGGCGTAGGTAACGCCGTCGTTGATGTGGGTTGTGCGGCAGTGTTAGCACCGCCACTTACATTATCTGGGTTGGTATCACTACTGTCACTTCTAGAATTGCCACTCCCAGAACTAGAATCACTATTTCTTCCTCGATTAGCCATAATACAACGTCCGTTACGTAATATCATGCAACAAAGCAATCAATATTTCAAAACACATAATATATGGTCCCACTGGGCGTGCCAATTTGTTTACGGTAAAAAATGACAATTTGTAAATAAATAATCCAAAGATCAATCTGGGGACTGGATTTAGGTCCTCTTTGGGTTCTTTCAAGTGTGTTGTTAATGTGATGCTCAAATTAACGGCGTAAAAGAGTATTATGCAAGAATAGGGAATAGTAATTGTACAGAATTGAATCAAACGTAGATGTTTTTACAAAAATATAGTAAACAGGAAATAAACAGTGTACAAAGATATAAACAACAAGAACTGAAATTAAAATGCAGAAAGGTAAATACGGGAATGTAAAGGTGCGTGAATATAAACGTACGACTCCTAACAATGAACAACAACGACCGTAATGTCTCCTTATAGCTAGTGTCTGGCGAGGTGCAGGGTTTCAGCGTTTCAGAGAATTTAGGTGCGGTGTCAGGGTGCAAAAAGTTATCCCTTGTAGAATGGCGCTTTGAGGTATTTATAGACAGGAAGATCACCACTGTCCTCCTCCTTTTGCGGGCACTTCTTAGTAACTGCCTTCAACTGTTATGTCCAGTATACACGATTACTTGTGATCGTGCTGTCGATAACTGCTGGTAACTGTTATCACCCACGATCTTTTCTTTACATAGTTGAACCTTTGTCCAGTGTTGGTAACTGCTAATAACTACTTTTGCACTTAACCTTTCAAGTCAATTTTTGTCTTTCGAGTTATTCTGGGAGGGTCTTAGGAAGCTCATTTAGTTTATGGCCTTGGAATAATTTCTCCTTGCCTTCTCTTTTCGACTAATTCTGGGGTCTTAAGAGCTTGTCTTGATCTCATGGACTTAGAATATTTTCTTTGCTCATTTCTATTTTTTGAGCAATTCTAGAGGGACTGGAACTCAGCCATGTTTGTGAACTTAGAATATTTTCTGACTTCGAGTAATTCTTAATATTTTCTGACCACTTCCTGTTTTTCGAGTAATTCTGGAGGAAATCTGGAGCTCAACTAAGTTTGTGGACTTAGAATATTTTCTGACCACTTCCTATTTTTTGAGTAATTCTGGAGGGACTTTGGAGCTCAACCAGGTTTGTGGACTTAAAATATTTTCTGACCACTTCCTGTTTTTTGAGCAATTTTGGATGTCAGGGACTTGGAAACTCCTCAAAACGCCTCGAAAAGCCATTAGTTTTTGTGGACTTAGAATATTTTCTTGTCAGTCCTGCTTTTCGAGCAGTTTTGGGTGTCGGTGACTTGGAAACTCCTCAAAACTCCTCGAAAAAGCCTTTAGTTTTGTGGACTTAGAATATTTTCTTGTCAGTCCTGCTTTTCGAGCAGTTTTGGGTGTCGGTGACTTGGAAACTCCTCAAAACTCCTCGAAAAAGCCTTTAGTTTTGTGGACTTGGAATATTTTCTTGTCGTTCAAGCAGCTTAGAGAAAAATCAATAATGTGACAAAAAATCTCCTAAAATAGTTCGAAATGTGTTCTTTTTAATAAAACTAAAGGTCTTGGATAATCTTTCAATATTCCCTTATATTTAGGCCTATTTTTTGGCTCCTTCTTGACCCTTAAAACTTGTTAAAATGTAGTTTCCCTCAAGATGATTTTTAACTTAGAAAATTTTCCTTATCCCAAACAGTCATAAACTGTTATTAAAACATACATTTAGATTTTGATTCTTCAATTGTAAATCAAATAAACACACTCCATGTTAAAAATTAGGATAACTAGTTCCATCATGACGTGAACATTTTAAATTTGAACAAGATTACTTCTCCTTGAATATATATATATATATATATATATATATATATATACTGTTATTTTAATAGTAAAATATCTTAAAACATAATGACTTGTTTTCTGCTTTGATTTAAAATTTGTATCACTTTTCTTTTGTCTTGGGTCACATAAAAATAAATAAATAAAAAGAATGACTCTGACTCAGATGCGATGAGATGGCAGGCACTGGCTCTTCGGAAACATAACGGGGTGTTCACTTTTCACTCTGGATGGTTTGTTTAATGGTTTAAGACAAATCAAAATGGCTTTTTTAAAAGATAGTAATGCTAATACAAACAAGATGTTGCGGTCGGTGGGTTCCCCATGTTATTATGGCAAGTCAACGTTCAATTTAATATAAAATATTTAGTATTATGAGGCATCATTGAAGCTAATTTTTTTATAAAAAGTAAAAAGTGATGTTGAACATTGAATATAATGTAGGACATGGTCACGCAGCACATCAATTAATCAATTAAAAGGAAGAATGAGGACCCAGTCACTGAATGTATCCTACGTCTACCTGTGAATATTTCTGAACCTTTGAAGGACATAGCACCATCTTCTTCTGGTTTCTGTAAGTCGCTTTTACATGGTCCTTGTTTTTTTTATTGTAGTCGCTTAACTCCAAGATGTTTGCACTATGCATTCTTCCCTATCTCAGGAAGGTTATAACTAAAAACTAATAACGGATCCACATAGCATAACAAAGCTTCACTACTCTAGTTGACTTTTTTTTCTCATCTTTCACTCCTTTAATTAGCATTCAATAAAATCAACAGAAGAACAACTTAATGATAAGACAACCGGTCAAAAGTTGTCAAATTTTAGATTTTTTTTTCCTGTTCACTGTTTTTGTATTGGGTTCTGAAAGATTGGCTTTCATCTGATTTTGCTTATTTATATCATGCTGAACTATAGTGAAATTAGTTTTTATGCTCCAAGCTCTTAGAGATTAATGATTGGAACAGACCAAATATAATTTACATAATAATATTTTATGTTTGATGTGCTTTTATTTCTCTTTGGTTTGGCAGGGCCTCTTTAATTGAATTGTGTTAGATAGAGTTATGTCCCCGTAGTACTTAAATTGAACTTAGTGTCCATAACTATGAGCTGCTTTTGCTTGAAAAAAGCTAGACCAAAGACTAAGCAAGAACTAAACACTATTCTTGCTTCAGAGACATCTTGTAAGTAGAAAAATTAACGTTTACCTAATATATTATTTGAACTCGTATCAAATCCTAGTTCTTGGAATTTGCATGAGATTTAAGACTAGGCCATTGCTTTTATGTCCCTTACCATTTGACAGTTACTGTGAATGAGATTGAGGCTTTGCTTTGCACGTTTAAGAAACTAAGCAGTGTCGATGATCACTTCATTCACAAGGTATGTCCTTTACCTTTCTTTCACATTACCACCAGCAGTTTTTATACCGATAAATGTAATCACAATTTATTTGCATCTTAATAGAATTTAACTATGTGAGTGCTAAATTCTTGAAGTATTTTATCTGCAGAAGGAGTTCCATCTTGCACTTTTAAATAATAGTGGCAAGCAGAATCTATTTGCAGACAGGGTGCTTACTCGTACTAAATTTTATTTTCTTTTTTAATAAGTGGGGGACGATTTAAATATGGAAAATGATATATAGTTAACGAAATCGTACGATTATGAGGTGTTATATTTTATTGTTAAGTGACTCTGTTCCGATTCATCCATGTAAGGTCATGCATAACCTAATTTTCCAAACCGCCAATTGATCACTTTTCGTACTAATTGTTTCTTACAAGATAGCATTTCTATTTATACAATTGTAATAATGGCTAAAAGTATCAACATGTTTTTGAATTGATCACCAAATATACGTAAAGTTAATTTGCGTATGAAAGTAACCATAGATGCGATTCTGTGGATTTTAATGAAGACGTGACTCCACAACTTGGCTAAAATTAACGGTAAACATGTTATGAATTTCACCACGCATATTTATTTCTCTATAATATTTCTGCAAATATCTTACTTTAATATTCACGATGATGTTGCTTCCTATAAAAACTAAATGCAGGTATTTGATATGTTTGATATTAAGCGTAATGGAGTAATTGATTTTGGGGAATTTGTTCGCTCACTGAACGTCTTTCATCCAAATGCATCTGAAGAGGAGAAAATTGAATGTATGGAATTATTTGTGTTCATCAATGAAATCATACATTCTTTCTGGTTATTACGTTGACGAGGACTTCACTGTGCCAAAATCTTCCTTACAGTTGCATTTAAATTGTTTGACCTTCGACAAACCGGATTCATTGAGCGTCATGGGGTGAGTACCCTCTAAGCTTTCCATTGTTCTTCATTTTCTCTTTTGGATTGCAGGAAATACAATTTTGGCAATGATATTAATTTTAGTTTAGTTTAAATTAGGTACACTTGATTCTAATGAAATTAATTTTAAACTGTTGAATGTGATTGAAAAGTCTGTTTAAACTAATTTGAATTATATATATTTTTTAAATTGTGTTTTTTATCGTTAGAAAGTGTAACAATCGATTTTGTACCTACAAAATAAACGGGTCTTTAGCAGTAGTTATGGTCACTTTAACAGTTTAGGATTCGTTCTTATGCATTCCTTTCTGTGCATAATGGTACATTGGTGCACTCACTTGAAGTTGAAGGAAATGGTTTTGGCTACTCTTACTGAATCAGATGTTACAGTCCCCGATGATGTTGCTGAAGCAATTGTGGATAAGGTTCTTAACCATGCAACAACCATACATTTGTTCCTCAATTTCTCTATTTTTCTCTCAATCCGATTTTCCAATTCTCTTCTCATTAGTTATTTTCTTGGCTTAATCTCTTTCAGACAATGAAGGAGGTTGACTCAAAAGGAGATGGGAAGATTGATAACGAAGAGTGGAGAGAGTATGTAGCAAAAAATCCTTCTCTTCTGAAGATCATGACTCTACCATATCTAAAGTGGGTCACTGTTCTACTCAACGAAACTTATAGTTGCATATTTGATTCAGCTTAATTCTCTACATAAATAATGGCTAACTATTTAAAAATCTCAGAAAGTTAAAAGGAAAAAAAAAAGCGAATATTTCTCTAAAATAAGTTGAACTAAATATGTATTTATTTTAATCTTTATCTTGTCTGCAGACTCATTGATCATTTGTTTCTTTTGCTATTCAATTGTATTGACAAAATCAAACTTGAATGATTCGGTTTATCAGGGATATAACTCTGGCATTTCCCAGCTTTATTTTGCACACTGAGGTGGAGGACTAGCGACAAATAATTACCAGTCAATGCAGCAGAAGGATTGTAGCTATAGCACAGAATTGAATTACCCCCAAAATACGTTGTATAATATGTTGTTGTAAACACACCATTAACCAATCTAGTATTCCCTGCTGCAACAATATTGAATAGACTAATTGTGTGAATGCACTAAACCTCCTTATTTTAAGGATAAATGAGTATGTTTGGAATTCGATGCTTGAATAGAAAAGACGTTTGAATTATTTTTCTAGGTATCAAATTTTCTAGTTAAAAAAGTTTGCAATATCCGCAACTTCTGAAATCATATTCCTACGAAAGTTTAGTAATTGTTTCCCCAAGTGTCAATAAAGTTGGTCACAATTGCTTTTCGGATAAAATCATGGCACGTGAAACGGGTGGTGTTCGAATTTCAAATATTGCTTTACACTCAAACACGTAGCTGGATATAGACACAGTGTTCCTCATATGCTCCAAAAAGTTGCATCTGGGGAGAGTGATTTTGTTGGTATGTAAGAATTGGAATTAGATTCATGGTGGTGGAGAAAAATAACCATCGCAATGGAATTTGAGGGCACATCACTTGACCTGAGCTAGGAACATATCATCCCTGCGTGTGCAACGAACAAATTCCAGAGCAAATTAGGGGAAATAAATGGAGCATATACAAGTCCACTTTCGGGGGACATTGCTTCACCACCTCTATCAAACATTTTATAAAAAACAATGATAGATATATGTTCTTAATATGAACCATTAAAATATTTCAATTGACATCACGTAAAACCGTCATTCGCTTTCGCATGTATACTCTAGCTCGTAATTGAGGAACATAGACACAAAACACATCATACACAATTTAGACCATCTCTTTCTATTTTAAAAAAATCATTTGAAAACTTTTGCCATAACTAAATATTAAAAATTCAAAACAAAATTGTTTTACTACTTTTATAAAAAAAACATAAAATAGTTTATGTAATAAACTCTAAAAGAAAATCATACCATAAAAATATTTCTTATTATTATCCTTACATTTCTAACAAACTTTTTATTTATAATTTTATTCTTAATTTTTAATTATTTAAGTTATTAAAAGAAACATCTTAATTAATTAAATTTTTTAAATTTAACTTTTAACTAGTTTAATAGCATCATGTGATATATTTAATTGACTTTACTTAGTAAATAAGATTTAACTATTATTATTGTTGTTTTAATTTTTAATTATCTAAATTTATGTCGAAAGGATGAATTTATACTTTAAAACTTTGAGTGAATGAAAGTACAATGGATAGCTAAATATTAGTCAAACAAAATCATATAAAAAATTTTATGCAATGCATTTTTATCCTTATAAAATGTGGTAATACTTGATGTGCTATTAAATTGTATGCTTTTAACAAATACATAATCTTATATTTGGGTATTACAATAAAGATGCACTTAGTATTTATACCTCTCTCTCTCTATCTCTCTCTCTCTCTCTCTATATATATATATATATATATATATATATTTAAGTTATCTTTAATTAAAGATTTAGACAATCTTTTAAGAAAACTCCTGAACAACTTAAGGGGTATATACTAGTGTAGGTCTCATCTTGATTCTATTTTATTCAAAAGCAATTAATTTCTGAAATATAAGATGTTACTTTACTTTATTATGTATTAAGTTAATCTTTTAAGATATTAACACTTGGTTATAAATTTTTTTATGCTAATAAAATCTATGATCACTTGTTTGATATTTGTAAGGAATTGTAATAATAATGACATTCAAGTGCTATTCTTTTTTTCTTTTCTATGACAAAGTTTTGAAAAGAAGTTAAAAATTACCTTTTCTAAAACTAGGCATATTTACCTTGATTTTTATACTTCAGTCAGTATATTCTTCCACTTTATTATCTTATTAAGACTAATTATTATTATTATTTTATCACCTTGATTCTTCCATTAATATATTCATTTGTAAAGTTGCCAAATGTATGACTTTTACTAGCCATTAAATGTATTTATATAAAAGTGATTTAGCTTTAATCCCTTTATTGGACATTGATTTTCATACGTTGAAAAAATAACTATATGCAATGTAGCATGTGAATTGTGACAAGGAAAACTAAGGTTCCTTTCGTTACTCCAATTTCTTACTCTCTCCTCATTTCGTATATTTGACTAATTATTTGTGAGACTTTGCAGTATTATGATCTTAAGAGTACGAGTTTATACACTTGTTGTATTAAAGATATGTTTGAAAATAATGTTTAATTATGTATTTATTAAATAAGTTTTTAAATAATAATTTACATCATGAATAATAAAAGTTATAAGAACAAATTAAAAACAACTTACTCTGATAAGTTTTTCCAAAAAATTTATTAAAATAAGTTATTGCTTTAGACATGGTATCTTCCAAACGATACTTTAAATTTAAAAGACATAGTCAAGTAGAGATTTACTTTAGATTTTACTTTTAGAACAAAAAAATTACAGAGCAGTGAGCACTCTCTCTTTCTGCTTTTCAAACAACTGAGAGCTAGAGTTCCATGCAATATAAGTAATGGAAACTTTACCTATGTAATAAGTGCTCCCTGCCCAGAGTCTACAAGTATAAAGAAGTCATTCTGATGGGGAGTTGTTGCACGAAACAACAACTTGAGCACGAAGATCCAGCAGTTCTTGCTGCCCAAACTTATTGTAAACCTTATTTTGAGTTTTTATCTTATATCCCATCCTGGAGTTGTATTCTAGGATTCCATTGATGGGCCAATTTTGCTGTCTGGTTTTTAATTATATTTCTCTGCCTATAATTTCAGTTAATATTTCTGAAATTGAAGCATTGTATGATCTGTTCAAGAAATTAAGCAGCTCCATGGTTGATGACGGGCTTATCAGCAAAGTAAGCTCATAATTCAATATGAACGCCATTTCTTTTACTATAATTACCATTGTACCACGGACTTAATTATCAGCAGTGTAATCTTGAATATGCAGGAAGAGTTTCAACTTGGCTTATTTGGAAGCAGCAAGAAACAGAGCCTCTTTGCCGACAGGGTCAGCTCCCTCATCATATTTAACTTATGAGAAATGCTTTTTGAACATATGAAAATAGCTATTTATGGGTGTTCTTTTGGGTATTTATTAAATATTTATATATAAAAACTATAAACAATAAACAAGAAAAGAATATATATAACATCAATTTTTAATAGATTAAATAAACTATTAAGTCATGAGTTCTGAAATTTAGAAAACATCTTGGGTTTCTTTGGGAATGACACAATTCAATGTTTTTGGCTAAATTTGTTCACAGGTCTTTCATTTATTTGACTCAAAAAACGATGGGGTGATAGAATTTGGAGAGTTTGTTCGAGGTCTGAGCGTCTACCATCCAGCAGCGCCACAAGCACAAAAAGCAGATTGTAAGAGTTTATATGAAGAGTGTGTGTGTGTGCATGTCATTGCAATATAATTTATTCTTAGACTTGATTAATGATATTTAGTTAATGTGGCAGTTTCATTTCGACTCTATGATATACGGCAAAGGGGCTTTATTGAACGTGAAGAGGTAAACAATGGGGTATTGACTTCAATTCTCATCTTGGTCGAGCATAAGCTATTGTTAGATGATAAAAAAGCTGTTCTCTTTAATTCTATTTACAAACTTGTAGAGTGATATATTTTCCAATATGTTATGGAAGGTGAGAGAGATGGTACTGGCATTACTAAGTGAGTCGGATTTGGTTCTGTCTCATGACATAATTGAGGTCATAATTGACAAGGTATCCCCTTTATTTTCTCTGGGTGTTTAGGTTAATTAGGATTTGGTGATTAAAGATGTACCCTTTATATTGTTGCCTAGACCTTTGAAGAAGCGGACTCAAAAGGAGATGGAAGGATAGATGGGGAGGAGTGGCAAGAGTTTGTGGCTCAAAATCCATCCTTACTCAGGAATATGACCATTCCATATTTGAAGTAATATGTTCTTTTCCTTTCATATCTTTCCGAAGCGGCATGCATATATATATATATATGAATAAAAAGATATTAATAAAAACATAGAATGAAAAATATACTGAAAATTATTTTATGTTTAAATGTGTTAAAATAAGATATAAAATAATCTTTTTACTTATTTAGATAAGTAAAAAAAAATCAAACTATATTAAAAATAATTATATAAATTGAATTAATATCTTTATTATAATGTTTTATCTTAATAACAATTATTTTTATTATTTTTACAATTTTTATATCATATTAATGTTTAAAAAAAAATCTCCCCTTCCCTTCTATTGTGGTATAGGTGAAGTTTCTTCTTCCCCTATATAGAGGTAATGAAGAGTCCCAGACGAAAAAAAAACACATACCTTTTCTTGCGTTTCTTTTTTATCTCAATAAAAAATTACTAGACAGTGATTAAAAATTTTAAAAATATTGTTAAAACATTTTATTATAAATTTTATTTAAATATTAAAATGAATTTTAATGAAATATTTTATTGATTATTTTCTTAATTAACATCTTAAAACACTAATTAACAACACTCTAAAAAATATAATATTTCAGCAATTTTAACACTTGAACAAAATTAGTAAACACCTACTTAGTTCTTCAAAATTTTGAATCCTGACTATACAAAATTTTTATATTCTCTTTGAATTTTTTGAATATCTTATTTTAATTAAATTTATTTTATTATTTATTATTGTTTTATATACAGAACAAACTAAAATAAATACTTCTTTTATAAAATCAATAATCAAAATAAAGTTTTTATAAAGTCCTGACTAAATTAAATATATAAAAAGACGTTACCAAAGGATTTAGAGTATTTTTTTATACATATATATATTATGATACTCATACAATTGTAAGAAAAATATGTAAACTTTCTACGATTTGGAGATAGAATTTTTAAGGAGAGCTACTAACACACTATGTAATACACTCTCTTTAAGATATTTTTTATTATTAGTTAACATTAATTTAAAATTATGGGTAAAATTCATTAAATCAAAAGTAAAATTTGTATAGGTTTATAATTTTTAATAAATGTTAATTAATAATGAAAAAATTATTAAAGAGTACAGTGATAGCTTTTTTCTTTTTCAATTAAAACTAACACTACTTACTGGATTTTGTAGGGATCTTAATACACAGTTTTCTAGTTTTGAACTAATACCAGGCATTGAAGATGATACAAGCAGCATCCCCTGAGAAAAATAACACTAACTAGAAGAAGAACAATTTCGATCTGCTGTGTCAGCACTGATATTGCGCAAATAAAAGATAACCATTGACGACATACACATTCCTATTAGCAATAATAGATGCACACCTACAGATATGTCCAGTTTACAAGGTTTGCCCATATTTATAGAAAGACAAATAAGTGTGTTAATAAGTTAAGTAAAACATGTCTTAAGCATCTTTTGTCTTATATTTGTAAGAATCATGCCTCTATTTTTTCTGTATTCGTATTTGTATTTAAATGCCATTGGCATTTAGACTCATGAGCCTGTGTATTAACTTTGTTGTGTTTCTTCGACGTTTAACCAATAAAAAATAAGTTGTGAGCTAAAAGTTAATAATTGAAAATTTATAATTTATTGAATTTAAAATGTTTAATACATTTAATTATTTTAAACTAATTGATAAATATATCATGACATAAAAATACACGTTTTTGAGTTTGTTAGTTTATTTTAAACGTTTATCATTTTTTATTTATAAATTAAATATTCTATGAATAATTAAAGTAAACGGTATATACAATATAAAATTTTAAATAAGTAATGTCACATTAAAAAATAATCTAAAAACAGTAAAAATAATACAATAGTTAGAATAAATATTCAACGTTCCTTGAATTAGATTTTATCATGACATCTCATAATAGTAGACAGTATTATTTATTATGTATCATTTCATAATAAATTAAGAATATTGTTATGATAAAAGAGAAAGCTATTAAAAACAATAAAGGTAAAGGTTAAAAAAATGATAAATTATAAGCACAAGTAACAAATAAAAAACATGTTATAAAATAGTGAAATGAACTCGCTTTTCAAACAACTCTATTTTGATGAAATAAATTATAGGTTAGTTAAATATATTTTCAAACAAACTCTAAATTTATTCCATAGAACAATAACTATTTAGCTACCCTTTCTTTATTACAGTGTTATAGTCAGATTCAGATCTTTTACATTTTTAGAGGAAATTGTAATCTACAATTTAAATTCGCTTAAATGAAATAAAATTTGCTTAAAAGAATTTTATAAAAAGTAATTTTGACTTAAGTAAAAAAAATTGCTAAAAAAGTAATTTTTGCTTAAGACAAAAAATTCATTTAAGCTAAAATTGCGAAAAATTTTAAAATTTCATCTTTTTTTCTCTTTAAACTACAGAAAAGTTGAGAAACATTTGTGCAAGATCATGTTGTCACATTTTATGGTTATACAACAAAAATTTAAGTGTTTCAAAACATATAATAATATAACTATTTCTCAAAGTTATCATTCCTATAGTCTTTATCATCATTTTCAACAATTTAACTTGATTCTAAATAGTTCTATCTCATTAATGTTTAACACAAGTAACACACTAGACAATACATTTGAAAATATTTGTACAATATCATGTGGTCATACATTATGATCATAGTACAAAAACTTAAATATTTCAAAATATGTAATAATGCAACTATTTCTCAAAGTTATCATTTTTATAATCCTTATCATCGTTCTCAATAATTTAACTTAATTTTAAATGATTTTGTCTCACTAATATTTAGCACAAGGAGCACACTAAATAATACATTTGAAATATTTGGTGAGATAAAATATGTAAGAATCTTTGATAACTAGATAGTCATTGATGAAAAACAAAGGTTCCTCGAATTTTCTGCAATTTAGAAAAGAAGAAGATGTTTTGAAATTTTTCACAATTTTGTCTTAACTTAATTTTTTAACTTAAGCAAAAATCACATTTTTACTAAATTCACTTAAAGGAATTTTTTTGGCTAAATCAAAATCATTTTTTTCTAAATTCACTTAAGCAAATTTTGTTTCGTTTAAACAAATTTAAATTGTAGACTGTAGTTCCCTCCAAAACTGCAGAGGATCTAGATCCAATTCGATTATCATTCTTTGTAACATGTAAACTCATTAACATCGTGAACTACTTTTTTAATATATCTTATATCATTTCACTTTTAATAAAAAAAAAGTTATATATTTATATTATTAAAAAATAAGATTACATATAATAATGTATTTTATTAATTTTATTTTTTACTTAGTTTGTAAATATTTTTTAATGAAAAAATATACCTAACATCATTGAGTTATGGATGATAGCAGAGAAACATAAGACAATGTTTGTGTGAAAGTATGAAAAATGACTTCCAATATTGTGTTTGAAGATGATGTTTTGTTTCCTTTACCTTAGAGTTTTTTTTTTCTTTTGAAAGAAATAGGCTTCATCAAGTATTTTTTGGAGTATTTGTCACACTACAAAGTTTGTGCGCCAAAATGATGATAATTTTGCTTGAGCAAACCAACTTTGCTTAAGTGAGACATAACCGATTAAACACATATTTCTCACTTAGGCAAATCTCATTGTGCACTTGGAGAAAATTTTTCTTAAGCAAACTATATTTGTTTAAGCGTGTTAAATGGCTTAAGCGAATGCTACTCACTTGAGCATGTTTGGTGACCTTCTACCTTCTAACTTGCTTAAGCAAGATGATATTCACTTAAAAATTTAAAAAATCACTTAAGTGAAAAATATGCGCTTAACTGAATTTGCCATCACTGTGCATCAAAGAAAAGATTCCAAAAACTCAGCAATTACTCTTCCATATTCAATATATTGAAAACTTCCTCACTAACATTACCCATACACTTTAACTTAGAGCTACTCTTTATTACTTGCATTTACAAAAGTCCAATACTTCATCTCTTTCTGCATTCCTTCTTTAGGTACATTTTCTTTAATTTCTTCCTTTCAAGTACTATGTGGGTTAAATGTTTATTGAACTAGTTATAATCTAGGTTTTAACAGTTACGGTTTTAGGTTTATTGTAAAATTAGTTAGACTTTGGGTTTCAATTGTTAGGGTTTGGATTTTAATTTATTTATTTACGATCCAAGTGCATTGTGAATGGTTTGATTTTTGCATTTATGTAAAATTTAGCTTAAGTGCATAACATTTGCTTAAGTGAGGGACATTGGCTTAAGCAAAAAAAAATTGACTTAAGTAAATTTGCTTAGCTTAAAGCAAGTTTTGTGGGCTTAAGCAAATTTTGTAAATTTGTTGATGTATTTTACTTAATTTTATTATTATTATTATATAGAAACTGCACCAAAAAAGTCTATTTCTTAAAGAAAGAAATAACGTCCAAAAGTAGGGTCTAACTCAAAAGAACCTGAGGCCATACCTACTTAAGAGCAATTTTCTTCTCCACAAATAATAATCAGTCTCACTCTTACTCCATATGCTAATTTTGACATATTCAAGTTCAAGAACTGAGCCAAATATTGAAAGGTTTTTAGAATTAAAGTCAAGAGAATTTATGCCAAACAAAAATGTACACTTAGAGGAATGGCAATTCACTAAGTTTATAGATGAAATTAACAGGAGAAAATGACATTTCTTGGCAAACAATAAGATTAATAAAGAAATAGTCAAGCAATTATATCTCAATGCATGGCCCTTGCAACTAAGTCAAATGGAGAAGAAGTCTTGGGTTCAAATGTGCACGGTCTCATATGATAAGGATGCATCAACACATTGTTGAAAAATCCCCTCACATTATAAGAAAAGGAGTTGTGCCACTACTAGCAGAGGAGAAGACGCGTTACTGAATTTTAAGATGAAAATATAGTTGAGACATTGTGTATTCCAAACATATCATATGAGACAAATATTTAAGGTAAGCCAATAAGGTTCAAATGGGGAAGTTTGAAGACT